CGTTTTCAAAAACGACACCGCACCAAACAAGCTGCCCCAAACGGGCCCTACATAAATGTGATAAAATGGTTGTTTAATACTTCATTAAAAATTTATTAATATGTGATTATTTAATAGCATTTTTTTTATTAGCTTGTTAACTACCAAGCTTCTCAATAGTGTTTTTCATTAATATGCTTGCTAAGACTAATCTAACAAATTATTTAATAGTATGACTCATAAATTAATGTACAAAATAAGCTACTCTATAAAGCTCTATAAGAATTGAACTAGAGACAAGCATATAGTAAGCTAGAACAATCATAAAATGACCGGAGCTCGAATCGACTCGAGCTAAAGCTCTGACAAGCATCTACTTGGCTCAAATTGATACATTTGCAACCTTAAACGAAAATTTGCATGCATAACACTCAATTCTTACATATTTACATATCTAACATGTAAACTTTAATTTTACATAAATACCATTTAACCCATGCATGAAAATGAGCTATTTATTTGTTAAAAGTTAACATGGAAGTATTTTTTATATGACTGAAACTTTTGGGTGATATAAATACAAAAGGCAAAGTTCTGAGTTATGGATATGTAAATACATAAAATTGGGTGGAATGTACGTAAATGCCCCTATTATAAAATAATGAGTTAGATGATTGGTAAACAAGAAGAAGAGGCCATTTCAGTAGTAGTAGGTAAATGTTTAGCTCAAGATAATGATACAAAGGGAAAGCAATAACCTCTTGTAAAGATGAGAGTTGAAAGAAAAGAAAAATATTAGCCATGCTTCTCTTAGTCTTCTCTTCACTTGGTCACTGCGAGAACTTCTTCACCCTCAATTTTCTCTCTTTTTTTGGTTGCTTATGATTGTAGGAAAATTTATAAGTAAGAATTCCACAAGTTTATGTGGTGAAAAGTTTATCTTCCGATATTAATGATCAACCACTTTTAAGGACTTTTGAAGTCTTAATTATAGATTTTTGTTGTAGCACTACATAGGTTTTCATGGTAGCCTTTATGTGTAAATTTATGATTGCATCCACTTAAAACTTTATGGTAGCTACCATTTAAGATTGGGAAAAAAAAACCATTGTTTAAATAATTAAAAATTTGACTCCACCCTCTACAATATTTTATTTGGCATTTCAATTTACTAGTTTAGGGTCTGTTTGGGGCGGCGGTGCGCCACCGCACTGCAGTTTTGTTTGTTCGGATAAACTGTGTTCTGACAACTTTTTCAAAAAAAACTGCCACTGCCGTTAAAATCTATATTTTCTCACCGGTCCTAACAAGATGCGATGGCAGCTTTCTAGCTTCGGTCTAACTTCTCCAAAAAAAAAAAATTTAATAGTCATCGCAGTTTTTTGATCATCAGATTATTTTTCAGTAGCTTCACAACTGTTTTTTAATAAGCTTAAGATGTTTCATATAGATCCATAGTGATTTTGTTTAAACACTATTCTATGCACAACAATGTATCATCGTTCATAAAGATTATTTGAGGTTTTAGAAAGCCTCAATTTTTCAATAGGTACCACTATGGTAAGCATATAAGTGAAATTTATTACTCCAATAATTTTGAAAAGCTATAATATATCAACTTCAAGCATGGTGCATAAATAATAATGCATGAGTTGTATGTCCTTTATTTGTGAGTGCAAGATGACATTATTTGTCAAATAAATAGCACTTTCACTTTCACAATAAAGAGTGATATCATTTTTTTAAGATCAATATATTTGCCAAATCATTTTGTTGTTGGCCATAGTGGTTGTCACATATTTTGTTTATGTGGTTAATAGTGCAATTATCACTTAAAATTGTGACACCATTAAAAAAGCAATGGTACCTTAGATACATATGTACCTGACGATACTTGTTATATTCAGGTCTCCTCTTAAATTAACACAACCTTGTAGTTAAGTCATTTTATTTTAATTCAAAGAATAATCGATTGTACCTTTTTAGATAGCATAATAACCACATTCCAACTACCAAATGACCTTTTCTCAAATTTCATATATATCTGATAATTGTTTCCATCACTCGTAAAATATCTGGTCAAAAGCATATCAATGTATACATAATGCATCCAACGAGTGACGAATAAGGTACTTCGGCCGTATGTTTATTTCACCTTCAAATTTTGTCATATGCTCCTTAAATAATCAGAAAAATAAGTAGCATACTTATAGAAGTCCTTTTTTTCTTGTTCAATAAAACATTTTGATTGTTTCATGTAGACGTCTTTCGACAAATTAGGATGGAGTAAAACAACCTTGATATCCATTTATTCAAGAGATCTTTTGTTGCTATAGTACTCAGTATTAGATGAATCGTCATTCCTTTAATAATAAGACATAATATCTCTATAAGGCCTATGCTTTACTTCTACTTAGACCCCTTGATAATAAGCCTCATCATACTAACACTTTTGTGCTCCTTGCCTAGTTTTTCTTTATTTTATAACACCTTATTTTTGGGCAGCTTATTCAGTGTCCATGTGCTATTCTTATAAATAGATTCCTTAATTTTTTCATAATAAGCTCTCACTAAACAGAATTATTTCAAGGTATCTCTCTCTCTAGATATATATATATATATCTGTGTGTGTAGGCTTCTTCAAGAAGGCCAAGTTGAGCGCAACTGAGAATCATGTGTGTTCGTGTGCGTGCATGCGGGGAAGACCAAAGTTAACGCAGTTGGAGATTCTCGGATCAAGTATGATACAATGTTTATTACATCTACCTAAACTGCCTTCAAAACTACAACTCTCAAGCTTCTCACATGGCATGTTTATTTAAAAATCTATTCGTCATCTCAGCTACTTCATTTTATTGTAGAGTTTCTAGGACAATTCTCTCCATACAAATCTTAAGTGTGATACAATAATTTTCTCCATAATAATTTGATTTTAAGCAAATGATTTTTTCTCTAGTTTTCTTTTCTAACCAGCAGCTCTTCCATTTTATAAAAACAATAACGCATAGTATTTGTCTTTAATTAAATAAGTCATTTTCCAGTACAATCATTAATAAATATGAGGTAGTATAAAGATCCTCCTATGATGTGACGGGGAATGGTCCCCATCGATCCATGTGCAATAGCTTCAACTAAGTAGATCTGAGCTCTCCATGATCTTTAAAAAATAAACCATTGTTTATTTTACCAAAGCACAATCTTCACAAAAAAGAAATGAATTTATTATATTTTAAACTTAGAATTTTAGCTCTAGTATGGAGAATCTATATACCCATCTCATTTACATGGCCTAATTTTTTATATCGTAGAGTTTAATTTGCCTTTGTATTGGTTGTTCCTATACTTCAAATAGTGATGGTTGTGTAAAGAGTTTTATGTTATTTTAGACATTTCCATTTGTAAACACGGAACGGAGGCTGAAGCAATGAAAATTTTACATTCTGAAACGATGAGAAAATGACGTTCTGTTGGAAGAACTTCCGACGAAGTTGTAGCACCAACAGAGGCATGGCAGTTTGTTAGCATCCTCTCGACAGGAATGAACATATACCGCCTTCTCAAACGAGGTCTAAAATAACCTTTGAAAGCTTTTACGTTTCCTGGCTTCATGTCGTCGGCGATTCTCCACAGTGAGAATCCTAGCGTCCATTTGTAATCATCATCTGCTCTGGACAAATGTCGAGAAGGAAAGTGAGGGTGAAGGAGGGAAGGATTTAGGGAGCAGAGGGCCGGCGGAAGACGTAGCAGCTGCATCGCTGTTGTGAAAGAGTAGGTGCATCGCCAACGGGATCAGGAAAAAAGAGTAATAGGAGCAGAGTCGAATCGTTCACATGAGACAAGACCCCTCCTCGCGGGCGTGATGTGCGCCGTGGCCCTTGTGGTCCACGGAGCAGTTTCATCGGGTTCGCCGGTAAGAAATAATCAATGTCGAGAAGGAGACACGGCCAAACTCCAAAGGAAAAAAATACAGAATTATGTACTGATGAAGCCATGGAAAAGAAAGTAGAAGCTCAGGAATAATTTTACTTTATTGGATAGTCGTCAATTTTTTGTATATTTTTGTATCCAAACGATGTAATGATTTTAGAAAGAGCTCCTTTATTCGATTGTTTATTGTAAGTTAGGTTCAAAGGAGCTTTTTTGAACGACGAAGTGGTCCCAAACCAGGCCTTTTTCTGAATAAAAAATGCTAAATAGAAAAAAAAAAATAGCATTAGCTATAACATCCTTTAGCATTAGCTATAACATCCTTTTAGCTATAACATCCTTTTTTTCCAGCTTCTGATCTAACAGAAAAACAAAAAAAGGTTATTGTATAACAGAAATGCTGAATACTAGAGACAGATGAGGTGGTCAAGAAATGCATTAGAACATTTCTCGGCAACTGCTAGGATGAAGGCAAATTTTGGGATGGAAGAATCGTGGCATTTTTTTTAGTAAGGTGGGCGCAGGCGCTCCAACCCATCACCTTGGGATGCATTTTTTTTCCAGCCATACGCTATGCATTCGAGCAAAGATAAGTGGCATTTATTCGCGTTTTGAGGACAAATTAGACAAGGAGATGAGAAGTTTGAGTGTCTTTATTGCATTGTTCTTGTGTGGAAAAGAACAAAAAACAGATATGAGCAAGGCTGATTCATGTGTGGAAAGAAGCTGCAAACGTGAAGGTCACGTCTTCTCCTACCATTCTCACTACCCTTATTCCAGGAAGATTTACACAAATACCACACAATTCCAATATATTTACATATCTGACACCTAAACTTCGATTTTTACATTTAAAACACTTCATCTATGCATGACAATGTGTATTTCACATTGTAAAAGTTTGTAATATGTAACTTTCTTCTATATGATATACAAGATTTGAGTTTTATAAATTTAAAAATCAAAATTGAATTAATATAGCTTATCATAGTCAGAAATTATACCAATCCAGACAGTGGAAACATAAGTAAGGAGAGCTTTATATCTAAAAGTTTCCAAAGTGAATAAATTCAATCAACAAGGAGGCGAAGTACCTGTGATTTCAACAGTTATCGCAGCCTAGAACTCCTCATCATTTCCAAGAGATCTCGTAACTGGTACAGACCATCTACCAAGGTGTGCAGTATAGTTTAAACATCTGATGACACCTTTTCCCTCAGGACCATCAGGAAAATCAATGATGCTGATGCTGCCGGCATCAAGATGGAAAGAGTCCATCCATTCTGCTGTTAACTTCAGAGACTGTGTTATGAGTGCAATATGAGCAGCAGGGTGAGCAATAGCCACAACATTTCTTTCTGATTCTGATTCCGATTCTGATTCAAAGAATAGTTGCTGTAGCAGAGAATGCCATGCTTTCTTTGATTGAGTCCATAGTTCTAACATGCTCGTATCATTGAGGTCAACTATGCATCCTGGTTGAAAAGAGGCAGCCTTCCTCGAAATCTGATGGGGTTCAGAACAATGTTATAGAAGTTAAGACCTGAATGAGGCTACGAAGGGAGTTCGAATATAGAAAATGATGAAACAAGTAAATGAGGACTCCAAATAAATTGACTTGTAGTGAGACAGGCAAGTGAAAAGTTTAAATTTAGATTCAATAGAAGACAATAAAACAAGTAAAAAAGAAAATCTCAAGTTCGAGTTCTCTTATAGTTATTTTACTATTGATGAGGTAACCATACAAGCATTCTAGCTTCAGTATTGAAAATTCATTACATTTTGGGAGACTCATTTTGTAGGGTAATACCTTAACATGCTTCTAACTGATAATTTATGTTCTAGACAATTATAGTCATAATTAATATGATCAATGCTACCTTAGAATTGTACATTAAAGACCCATGCTTGAATTGTAATGCATGGCCGGAGCTGTAACCATCTTAATTTGGCATATTTTATAGATGGTATTTTGGAACTTTTTTTGTCTTCCTATTCTATAAAAAAGCTACTACTCCCTGATTTATGCTTTGGAATTAGAAGTCTGTGATCGAGATGATATGATGCGTCCTATTTGTTAACGGCATAATATGTTGAAACAATTGAAAAGTTATAATGATGGGGGCGAACATCAAAAGGTAAGATTTAGATTAATAGAATAAATATAGGGTATAATGTATAATTTTAGTCAATATGAAATCGATAATTGTGAATCAATGTTGCTAGCAAATCAAGTGATATGTAAGTGTGATAGGATTAACTATCTTAAATCTGTTACACAGAAAAATGGATATATACATATGTATCAGTGAATATAATGTTATGAGATAAGATTGGGTCATTAAAATGAAAAATCACCGACAATCAAGTTTTGTTAGAAAATTACATCTCATAAGATGTAATTGATTATAATGGCTTGTCTTTATAATTTTCTACCTAGTAATAAAATAAACCCTATTTTATCCAAATTAGATAAATGAAAAATCTATGGTAACATAAAGACAATTCAAAATCTTTATTTTCATAATTGATTGCATTGTAGGACAATATTTCCATCTCTTGATATAGTAGATTATTTTCAATGTCGTATTAATTCCTAAAATTAAATTTCAAAATTCTGAGTGCTTCATTTCCCTTATGAGGCAATGTCATTTGACTGAAAAGTATGAAAAAAGGAGAAAAAACCAATTATAATAAGTGCATGAAGCAAAATACAAATGATAAAGAGTGGAGATTGATGAAAGATTATTGAGACCAGCAATTTAGTCTATACATCCAAATGACAGAATATTCACATGAAACATTAATGTCCATGCAATATCAAGTAGATGATAGTTTTTGCGTTAAGAATCATTTATTGAGATGTTTAACAACAAAAAATTAATAAATAATACTAATGTTAGAGCAAAAGACACAAAACTAAGAGCATAAATTCTAAAATATTAGCAATGTCTAAGGTTATAATTAAAGTGAAAAAAAAAATCTTAATAAAAGGTATGAAGAACATGATGAAAGGTCTTTGATAAACATTTTAATACATAAACCCAAATGACTCGAGAACAATAATTAATAAATAAGTCAAACTAGGAAAAGTCTGAGTAACGATCAGACTAGTAATCCAAATCATCGAATAGACCAATTCAAAAGGAAGAGATTAGATACTAACAAACAAAGAAGGAAAGAACGCACCATAGCATTTACCCAGCTTATAAACATGACAATCAAACTTGTATGGGGATTAAAATTATAAAGAAAATGTTTAGATTTTATGGAATAAGAATAAAAAAAACAATAATGCCAATAATATGGAATAAAAGTAGAAGAATGGGTGGAAGTAATACCGGCCATCAAGAAGTAAACTCCACTAACTATAACACTTTTGCCAACCATCTTTATCAGCTAAAATTTTGAGATATGCAATGTAAGAGATAAAATGTAACAAAATAATTGTCATTATACAACAGTGATAGTTAGTCGATCGAAACTTGTGAGACAAAAAAGTATGAAAGAGATTTGGGAAGATGTGTAATACTTTTTTTTAGAGACATAGAAACCATTAACAATAATAATAGGTGGTAGAAAGATCATATTGAGAGATAAAAAAAAGTTGACAATTACATTTCATATAAGAAAAAACTCCTAAATATAAAATTGGGATGTACATTAGAGAACCAACGGCTCAAGAGAAAGGAAGCATGAGACATTGAAAAATGTAAGCAGTCGATCATACTAAGCATAATTGATTCCTAGGAATAAAGGGTAAGACCAATTGTAAAAGCATTGTGGGCAATAGAAGGACAACTAAGTTTCTACAAATAGCATTCAAAAGGATGGTTGGTGTAGTTACGATGAGAATGGGATAAAAGAGCATTAAATCCACGGCCACATTACTACTAGCACATATACCATATCTACAATGTTTTCGACCACCCTACTGCCAATAGCTAGGACTACTTAGTCAGAAATAGACGTTTGGAGTGTAGAGAACTCTATAAAGCAAAGAACCCGAGAGATAGCAGTTATAATGTTAAACAATAAAGTCTATCATTAATCAATCTTCCACATATTTTCAGAAGGATGCTTACCAAAAAAAAAAATCTGGTCATAGAGTTATCTTACTTTAGTGGAATAATCAAATCTAGAGCAAAGGGATTGTATTGAAGTAACTCGTCCCATTTCCATCTTAATGTGCTATAATATACTCCTTGATTAGCATATCATTTTGTTGAAAAGAAAAAAAAAAATCTTAGAATAGAGAATATACACATGAAAGATATTGCTCTCTTGAATATATGTGGGCCTAAAAAAACTTAAAATAGAGAATACACACATGAAAAATTTTGCTTTCTTGAATGTAATGTGGGCCAAAAAAAAAAAAGAAACAAATCCCATATCCTTCTGCCATAATCTTAAAACATGACAGTCAAGGCAATGGGCCTTAGATGACACCTTTGTGAAAAAATGTCTATTGAAATATAGATTCAACAACAGCAATAACAACAAGCCTTTATCCCACTAAGTGGGGTTGGCTACATAAATCATTTTTCTCCATTGGTCCTATTGAGTGTCATATTTTCATTTCATTCTAATAAATTAAGATCATTTTTATACAATATGCCTGAGGCTTGCTAGGTCTAACTGTGTCTTTCTTAACATAAGTCGAATCTAAAACATCAACTCTCCTAACCAGATTATCAAATGATCGATGTATAATGTAACCAAACCATCTAAGACCACTCTCTCTAATTTCGTCCATCATTAGAGCTACACCAACCCTATCACGGATATATTCATTTCACATTTTATCTCTACGTGTAAAGCCACTCATCCACCTAAACATTCTCATCTCGGCAACACTTAACTTAGTTTTATGCTTCTCTTTTAAAGGTCAATATTCTGCGTCATAAAGCATTGCAAGTCTCACTAACCCCACCACAACAACAACAACAACAAGCCTTTATCCCGCTAAGTGGGGTTTGTTACATGAGTCTTTTTTCTCCATTGCGTCCTATTGAGTGCAATACTTCATTTAATTCTAATAAATTAAGATCATTTTTTATACAATATGCCCCAATCTTTCTAGGACTACCTCTGCCTTTCTTAACATAAGTCAAATCTAAAACATCTACTCTCCTAATCGGATTATTAGATTGTCGATGTTTAATGTGACCAAACCATCTAAGAAGACTCTTTCTAATTTTGTCCGCCACTGGAGCTAAACTAACCCTATCACGGATAAATTTATTTCGCATTTTGTCCCAAAGTGTAAAACCACTCATCCACCTAAGTATTCTCATCTTCCGAATACTTAACTTAGTTTTATGCTTCTCTTTTAAAGGCCAACATCCAACGCCATAGAGCATTGCAGATCTCAGAACCATTTTATAAAATTTTCCTTTCAGTTTAAGCGGTACTTTTCTATCACACAATAGGCCCGAAGCATTCCCCCACTTCAACCAACCAACAACCAACAACCAACCAACTTGAATTCTACTAATAACATCCCCATCTATATCACCATCACTTTGAGCAATGGACCTGAGATATCTAAAGTGTTCACACCTAATAATTTGATCACCCATAGTTACAACTCTGTCACTAGAGCTACTATTACTACAATTACATTCCATTTATTCCGTTTTAGTTCTACTCAAATGAAGGCCTTTAGACTCCAATGAAATGAATACCTCCATAATTCAAGTTTTTCCTAAACTTTTTTTCTAGTCTTATTCACGAGAAGGATATCTTCAACGAAAAGAATACACCAAGGTACATCATCCTGTAAATGTCCAGTAATGGCATCCATAACTAAAGCAAAAAGATATGCGCTTAAAGTCAATCCCTGATGTAATCCAACTAAAATAGGAAAATATTTGGTCAATCTTCCTTCCATTTGAATACAAGTAACAACTCTAATATACATATCTCCTGAAAATATTTAGTCAATATTGTAGATCTCACCAGCATTTCATAAAATCTTTCTTTCACTTTAAGCGGTACTTTTCTATCACACAATAGGCCCAAAGCATTCCTCTACTTCAACCATCCAATGTTGAATTATACTAATAACATCATCATCACTTTGAACAATAGACCCAAAATCTCTAAAGCGTTCACACCTTTTCATGATTTGATCACCTTAGTTACAACTGTCACTAGAGCTACTACTACTAAAATTACATTCCATATAATCAGTTTAGGTATACTCAAATGAAGGCCTTTAGACTCCAATGTAGACTCCAATGTAGACCTCCATAACTCAAGTTTTTCCTGTGTTTTTTCTCTAGTCTTGTCCACAAGAAGAATATCATCAAAGTACATCCTCCCGTAAAAGTTCAATAAGAGTATCCATAACTAAAGCAAAATAATATGCGCTTAAACCAGATCTCTAATTTAATATAACTAAAATATGAAAATATTTGGTCAATCTTCCTTTTGTTCGAACACAAGTAACAACTCTATCAAGTAACAACTAGTAACAACTCTATTATACATATCTTTAATGACTTGAATATAAGTGATATCAATACCTTTCTTCACTAAAACTCTCCAAAGGATATCTCTTGGAACCTTATCGTATGCTTTTTCTAAATCAATAAAAATCATAAGTAGATCCGTTTATTCTCTATGCACTTCTCCACCAAACCACTCAATAAATGCACAACTTCCATAGCAGACTTGTCCGAAATAAATCCAAACTGATTATGAGAAATCTTTGTAATACATCTTAATCTATGTTCAATTACCCTCTCTTATAATTTTAAAGCATGACAAATCAACTTAATTCCTCTGTAAATTGCACACTCTTGTGCATCCCCTTTATTCTTAAAAATAAGGACCAAAATACTCTTTATCCACTCCCCAGGCATCTTTTTAGTTTTTAAAATAATATTAAAAATTTTAGTGAGCCAAAAAGCTCCCAAATCTCCTAAATATTTTCACAATTTAATTTGGATATCATCAGGTCCTACAAATTTTTCACACTTGATTTTCTTTAAAGACTCCTCAACTTCTTTTTTATTAATGCGGCGGTAAAAATGAAATATTTTATTATTATTAACTATATTAAGATCACTAAGATTAATCGTAATTTCAGGAACTTCACTGAAAAGTTTATCAAAATAACTTATCCAACTATGTTGAATATCTTTTCTAAGAAATGCACTTTTTATTTTCATTTGTAATATGTTTTACTTGAGTTAAATCTTTACATTTTTTTTCTCCTTGTTTGGCTAGATTATGCATACATTTTTTACCCTCTTTAGTATCTAATCTATTATAAAGATTACTAAAATCAAAATTTTTAGTGTTGCAGATTGTTTTCTTAGACTCCTTACAGGTAAGTTTATATTTTTCTCAATTCTCTAATCATTTACATTTAAACTAATTTTTATAACACTTTTTATATTTTATCTTTTCATACACATTATTATTCCACCGCTAACAATTTTTATTTAGAGAAAGTTTTCCTTTCGATTCTTCAAGTACATCTTTTGTCACTTGTTAATAGTGTTTGTTAATTTATCCCAATCAGAATTTGCTACTTCATGAACATCCCAAATCTTGAAATCTTGAAGTTTACTTATAAAAATAACTTTATTTGTGTATTTAAGTGCCCCCATGTAATTATATGACAATGATTCCTAATATGCTCTATTTTACAACTCTTCATCTTAAAATTTAGAACTAATAATCGATGTTGAGTAATTAAATTTTCACTTGGAATAAACTTACAATCTTTACATTTTCAACGATCTATTCTTCTCATAAGAAAATAATAAATTTGTGTTTTATCATATCCATTCTTATAGGTTATAATATACTCATCTCTTTTCTTGAAGAAAATATTAGCAATAACAAAATCACATGCTACAACAAAATTTAATATGGCTCAACTTTCTTTCATTAATCACTTCAAAACAGTGGCGATCATGAATATTTCTAAAATCTTTTACCACTCTACCGACATGTCCATTTAAATCTCCTCCAATAAAAATTCTTTCTTCAAGAGGTATCATTTGAACTAATTCTTCTATATTATTTCGGAATTTCTTTTGGACCATATATTTAAACCTACTTGAGGAGCATAAGTACTTATAATATTAAAAATCTCAGTATCAACAACAATCTTAAGGGCTATAATTATATTTCTAATTATATTATTTTTTACAACATTATCTTTTAAACTCATATCAATAATTACACCTACATTATTTCTAATGTGACTCCTACCCAAATACCAAAGTTTAAAACCTAAGCTGTCAACCTCCTTAGTCTTTTCTCAAGCTCATTTAGTTTCTTAAATACATAAGATATTTATATTTCTATGAATCAAAATATCAATTGATTTCATTAATTTACTAGTGAGAGTACATACATTCCAAGATATTATCATAATATTAGTTTCATGGACTAACTTCTTTACTCACATATGTTCATCGATATGGAAACCCTTGCTTATTTGCACTCACCGGCCCTTGCACATTTTTCACTGCATTTAGGTCATACAGTATGTCGCTTCTAGAAGACATTCTAGCAATTATACAAGGATCAAAAGAATTCATGTCATGATTTTCGACAAATTTTACACTAGTTGTCGACTACCTAACGAAACCTCCACTTTTCAAGTACATAACTTGGGACCCGACAACGACAGTGTAAAATGATTACCCAAAAATAAATAAACAATTTTTTATTGTTTCATATTGATTCTATATTTATAAGATAAATTGAGACTTATTTCGTCACTCCAACGGGTGTTGTACATAACCATTATGGATAACCCCTTGGGAAGGAGATACATTAATGACATTTATAAATGAAAAATTTAGTGACATATCGAAAGTTTTTCCAAAAAGAGAACAAATCTTCAAAGTTCGTTCAATTGATTCAATGTCAATGAAGCTTAAAAGAAGAGTTGCAAGTTGGCACGAATGTATCCAAAGGAATCTTGAGATTTCTCACAGATCAAAAGAGAAAATGAGAATAATAAAAGGTCCTCAAAATGATAAAGTAGTAGTGAAGACCGAAAAGGAAGTGAAAGGCCCATTGAATGTAGAAGATAAGTAGCTAAATTCAATTTAATATTGGTATAGAAGATAGGGGGTTTCAACTCATTGGAAGTATGAGAGATCATTACATTTTATGAGGTAACTCCAATCATAAAAGTGGATGAGTCATGAAGTGTTCCTACTATAGGTTTATGGGCAATTGGCAGCAAGTGCAGTGGGTAGTTCCAACAATAAGCAAGTGTGGGTGGGAAGTAGTAAGAAGGCGAAGAAGTAGTAGGTGGTGTAGGCTTTAGGGCCATGCAAGTAGGCAATCAGGCAAACGATAGTGGACACAAGTGATGAGTAGGTGTAGCGGGTTTGGTGGTGGAAGTGAGCACTATGGATAAAAGAGCGTAAACAAGAGCAGGCACATGCACTGCAAAAAAATAGGCACGCCTACAGAACTAGGATCTGATCGAGAATAAGTTAAATGATAGAGATAACTAGAGCTAACTAGGCTGTAATAGAATGTTAGTGGAGAAAATTAGTGTGTATTATTCATGTGATAAAATAAAAATAAAAAAAGAACAAATTGTCATTGTGTGCATTCAAATACTCTACACCACTCTTCAAATATAAAAAACTTCCTAATTTAATAGAATTCTACAACAAAAACAGGATTTCAAGAGATCTTAGCATGAAGATAGGGTTGGCAGTGGTTATAAGCTAAGGCAAACTGTTAATCAATGTTTATAAAATTCAAAATTATCATCTCCTTTCTATAAAAACACCAAATTACAAGAAGAGTTATATAAATTTCCAAAATAAAAATGACATGTTAGCTATCAAAGTGGTAGTTAGCGTGATGCTATTGATTTAAATGTAAATTTATTTACAAGTGTAGCATTAATCAACACAAAAATAATGTATTTATAGGTCAATAAAATTTAAGCTCAATTTTTAATTTGGTGAAGGGATGTGCTTAAATTTACCTAAAGAAAGCCATATTTAAGCTAAGCTTTCTCAAAAATCTCTCAATCTCTCACCTTATTAAATAAGTTAATTACTAATTAGTTAGTAATCACTAATTAAGTTGTCTTGAGCAGAATTGCATTATTATTATTATTATTATTACTGTTATTATATAATTTAGTATATAATGGATACATTATTAGAGGTTAAATTATCAGATTGTTGAAAATTAAAATAAATAATATGCTATGAAACTATAATTCAACCGCTAAAAAGTTAAATAACAGCATAATTATGGATCAATTATATATTCAGTTTTGTTACTAATTAATTATTTAGGATTAGATTTTAAAATTGAACATGTGAAAAATGTTCTAGAACTCTAAAACTCTTAATAGATAAAATCAGTATAAAATGCCCTAAATATTAAAAACAGCCTGTTCAAATTAGCCTTTTTACCACAAAAATATAAAGGATTAATTATGATTATATTTAGCTATCAAAGAATTAACTAAGATCAAATCTTAAGCCTCTAATATTCTTTCTTAATTTAGAATAAGCTAATCCCACTTAACAAAAAAATAGTCTTTGAATACCAGCTTACTCTAATCCCAGGGAATAAGACTTTTTAGGTGGTTCCAATTGGCACACTACTAAACAAGAAATGGAAGCAAATTAACATTTAGGACACGTTTGGGGTGGCCAAATTTTATTATAAAAATAGTTGAATAGCTGCTGTGGGGAGAGATGTTGTGAAAAAAGCACCTTTTAAAAAGCTACTATGAAAATTACAAATATTTTCTTCAAAAAACCGTACAAGTTTCTAACATATTTGGTTGAAAAAAATAATCCAGCACTACATAATTTATTAAAAGTAGCAGTAGCTGGTAGCTAAATGAAATTATAGCAGCAGCCTAGAAGGTAAAGCAGTAGAAAAGCTACCTCAACCAAACCCTTAATGTCCCACTAAGAAAAGAATACAAGATGCTGCAATATAAATTTCACTACAAAGGGTCAACATGGAAAGTAACTTACCTTATGCGCACGTTGAAGAATAGATTCCACTTCAAGTTCCAGCATTTTCTTCACCTCCACAAAACGAGGAACACAATCAGCGCCCAAGCAATCTGCTGCCTCTTGAACCTACTAACATAACTGCCAGAGTTGAATTAAATGAAGATTTTTTTAATGTATAAACTATATTCTCATATAGTTAACCCACAAGTACATCTTTTTATAAAGGTAACAACTATTTACCTCACGTATGGCTGTTGCAGTGTCAGCAGAGGCAATCCTTGGACTACACACTAAACAATTCACCTTCAAGTCCAGAAGTAATTCTGCAGTTTTTTGAGACTGCAGTTACAATTAAGATGTTTAGACATCAATACATAAATGAAAACAAGGTCCAAATAATTTCACTATTGTTTGACAAACAAAATACCTGTATAATCCCAAGCATGTTTAAGGGCTCATACACGAAATCTGAATAAGCAGCCTAGAAACAAGAGAGAAGTAACATATTAAATATTTAAAAGATGTGTTACTGGAACATAGCACTGAGCAAGAAAAATGAAGAAGGTTGCAGATTCCATCTACAGACAGACCCATACTTCACTAGTGCCTTAAGCTAACGATTCAGAGTATAAGAAACAGACATTTATCTTCCCAGGATCCATAAAATCTTGAAGTCTTAAAACACACAATATTACATAATAAAATAGACTTGTTACTTATATCATAGATCAACACATATTCTCATGTTTTATGTCAACTGCCTCATTCATCAGTATGCTGGTTAGTGGTCAACTCTGCCAGACATTGCAACCTTTAATTGGTGGAATAGTCGCATTTTTAAAAGCTTTGATATGAGCTGTTCATTCAATTGATAAAATTGCATCAAATCCTTCTTAATATATAAGGCTGTCAGAGCCGAAAAAAAAAAACTGCTACAAATAAGATACCATCTGTAGGACGGAATGGATTAAGTACCGATCATTCTAGTGAAAACTAAGCATGTTACACAAATTAGAATAAGGAACCCAACAAGCAGTCTAAAATAACATTAGCTTGGATAAAAGCATACTTCTATTGGATTGTCTTAAGTGCTTATCGTACTTCATTACTCTGTGTAGCTCCATGGCACACTAAAATAAGCCGCGCATTTGTTTTCCTTCCAGCAGAACTTCCAAAAGTAACAGGAGAATTTGGTGTCTGCAGCAAGAGTCAAGCAAAAGAAAATTTATGACAGTATCACTATTATAACAGAAAATAATAAATGTTTAGTGTAAATAGGAGCTTAACACCCTATTAGAAGTACTGGGAGCATCCATATACGTTCAGTATAATTCTGTTGTGCAGAATCCAGGTCGATATGGTCGCCTAAAATCCAAAATTCTCCTAGATGCTTACCCAAACAAAGTCAAATGCTAAAAAAATTGATATATTACTAAGTAAACTTATTTTAATTATGAGTTCTTTTAAGAGTAGTCATTATGATCGTCAATTTAAACTACACTAAGAAAATTAAAGAAATTCCAGCATCCAATTAATGTAATTCCAAATTATTAAATCGTGCTAAATTGGTTCTTTAAAAAAAGTGGCGGGGACGCCTACTCAATAAGGAAAAGATGCAGAAATTCCTGCGGCGAAAGTAGTGTTCAGCTGCCCGTCAAGGTTTTTCTTCCTCCTTAGGAGTCGGCCGGTCCTCTTGGGCCACTCCTAATTATACTATTATTATATATTTGCTTTAGTAAGAGGCTAAGCTAAGTTTTGTTGTGATTTTTTTTTTTTTTTTTGGGACAGCCAATAGTGTTATCGAAACCTCGTAACCCGTCCCGGAACTTGGAATTAACCAGGGCAAGATCAGACAGTTTGACAATGAAAATCAATTTTCTGCTATCATATTTCTATTACTAAAAGTTTAATATTCAAATATTCATAAAATGATCACTAAAAAAAAATTAAATAAAAATACAAAAATTTGTACTTTTATGTTTGTCGTTCTTGCCTCCTATACACATTTGCTTATATTTTATTTGTCTTGTTCAAAAGCTTGAAATCTAAAAAAAAATATTTAAACATAATGAGTTATCTAAAAATAACCCAGGAGTAATCATATTTATAAACTATAGCAAACCAAGAAAAAGAAAATAATATGCATACTAGTCTTTCATATTTCTATAAGAAATCTTATAATATGGACTTTCATATTTCTATAAGAAATCCTTGAATATATCAATGCATGTATCAATAATCTTTACTTAATGAAAAATATTATAAATTTTTATATGCATTTATTTTAACTTTAATTGTACTTTATATTCTTTATATAAATTTTTTTCTATTTGAGAATCACCGTTAAAAATTACATAATACATCAACGACTAATATTATCTCGTCTGCACAGCAGTTAGCGATCTAAACATTATAATTATCTAAGGTAGAAAATTCATTACTTGCCCCTGACGGATATTCTCTCATCGACACAATGGTTAGTGATCTAAACATCACAATTGTCTGAGATGAAAATATTCTTACCTGCACCTGACCGATATTCTCTCATCGGCATAGTGGTTAGCGATCTAAACATCATAATCTCATTCATATCTCTTATATCATGCACATCTTTGTCTATCATGCTTATCATGCATATTTTTCATGTCTAACAATATGAAGGATCTAATTAAACCAAAGCATGCATGGAGCAAACATATATTTTGAAATAGAGAAGATTATTGAAATTTAAAAATATAATAACCTCGGTTGCCACGTTAGATTCTTAATATTTAGTAACTAGTTGGACTTCACAATAACATTTACGTTGATATTAATAACCTGAAGTACGAAAAATTTCCGTATGTTTTCCACGAACTCACCGCCTCAAGTAAACAACATGAAATTTCTAAATATCTTAGGATTTAATAATATATTCGCTCATAAAGTAATTTAACCCAAAACAAAACTAATTTATCAAAACAGATCTCAAACCTTGTCTTCGCTACGACTACTGGAAATGAAAAAGATACATGATTCTTTGCATATTAAAATGAAAGCGTGAGGAAATAAAGAAATGTCTTAAATATCGCTAATGTGGGTTTCGTACCTTTCATTTTCTCGTTGAAACCTCACGACTTACAACTTTGTTGTCGTGCGTCTGCGCTCTGCTCACAACCTACGCTACAGTAGTCGAGCAGCGGACCTTCGTGTGAACGAAATCGAGAGAAGTAGGAGAGAAATTAGAAGAGCCTAGAGCCCCCCCCACCAAATAATTTAATCAACTCAATATCTTATAAATTTTATATTTCGCATTCCATTCACAACTTACATCTAGTGTTGTATATTGAATTGATCAATTTAACGCTTAGAATATTATAAAATTGTTTCGGTTGAAATCTAAGGAGTGTGAAATTTGGGCTACATTTTTAGTAGTTAAAATTTTTACTCTATTTCACAAAATTGGTTATTAAAGGTGTCTTTGTTTCTCCCTTCAAGGGTTGTATTCAAGATTCGAGTGGTGCTCCGCTTATAACTCGCTCCCGATGTAGTGTTTATCCTTCCCCAACTCCTCTAAATTCCCCTCGCTTTGCTGCTACGCATCCCTATTTTGTTTCAGTCGCCAAAAACAACCATTCTTACTTGTTTTTCTGCAGCTCTGACTGACATTGTCGCCTTCCCCTCCCTCGTCTTCGTTGTTGCTGCTATTCTCAGCCTCCAGCTTCCCTGTTATCGCTATCCCGCCCCTCCACCTTCCCTGCTATTGCTGTCCCGCCCCTCCACCTTCGTTGTCGCAGCCCCGCAAATCCTTTCCTTTATTGTTTTATCACTGTCCCGCCCCTACACCTTCGTTGTCGCAACCCCGCAAATCCTTTCCTTTGTTGTTACCACTATCCAATTGTCTGACATCATTGCAACAACATTGTTAACTCCTTCCCTTGTTATTTTACCATTGTTCAGTCGTCTGGTATCGCTACCGCAACCCTGCAACTCCTTCCCTTTGTTGTTTTACCATTGTTCCAACCTCTCAAAACCCCTATTGCCCCTCATCCACCTCTCATAAACCTTACATGCTAAAATTACCACCCTCCAACACCACATTTTACCCATTCCAACCATCCAATACCATTTCCAGCCGACCTAGCCGACCTCCACCACCCCTGGATCGACCTTTATTTGAGTTTGTGTATCGATTACATTGTTATTTCACATTTCAGTGTGTTGGTTATAATCTTTTATTTGCTTTTAGTAATAATATTTTAGTTTTCGGTTATTGTTTGAATTAACTTCGATATCATTTAATATGAGAACTAGTCTAACCTATTTTTATTCTATGGTTGCCAAATCAGCCCCCATTCCCCCTAGAAAATTTTTGCCACCCTTTTTCCACTCAAGTCATCCCTACACACCCTTCCAACACTCCAACCCTAAACCCTAGCCACGCCACCGAGGAGATGATTGTCAAAGACCTGAATAGGAGGGAATGCCACAACATCGTTCATAAGAAATCCACAAAGAGATGTTCAGAAACCATATATAGAAGGGTCAACCCGTGGCCACAACGATGACTTGCCAAGTCGAAAAATGCAATACATCCCTTCCATACAGCAGATTCCAAAGATGAAGAACCCCTATCCCAAAGAGTTGGCCTGAAATTTTAGAGGAGCCTAGATCTTGAAGTATAAGGTGAATTTATCATATTTTGATGACCGTTTGGATCTGGACATGGTCATTGAGCGGCTCCGAACATTGAATGTGTTTTTGAATACCAAAAAGTCTCACCAAACATAAGAGTGAAACTAGTCACCAACAAATTAAAGAAGGGCACATTTCAGTGGTGAGAGAACTTGAAGATTCTTCGACAATGAAAAAAGAAAAGTAAAATCACTACATATGAAATGAGAAATGTAGCACTGGTACCTACTAGTTCATTACAGACTTCATATCCTAGCTTCAAAAGAAAAGAGAAAATATCACCCGGATGACCGTCACATACAAAATTTAACCACAAATTCTTTCAGCTAGAGTACCCAGAGAAACATCTAAGCTGACCTCGTCTGAGAAAATCTTAGTTAAGAGTGAAGAACGGGTGAAACCAATCAACATTCTCAATTTTGTCCCAGCCAAGAAGTGCGTCAAGTGCCACAATTTTAGGCATATTGAATAAAATTGCACAACTGAAGAATGATCTCTTTCACTGATCAAAAAACAGTAAAAGAAATAAATAGTGATCCAAGAGAAGATGAAGATTTCATATATGATTATCAATTTCCAGCTAACAAGGATGAGACATCAGCAGTTCCATTTAACCCCATGAGAGCGACTCCAACAGAATTAAGTAGTTTTTCTAGAAAGGAGTGAGTCTAAGGCAATAAGTGTTCATGTAGGGTATGAGATTGTGGTGCCTCAAACTATCTTTTCGCAAGCATTGAGAGGAGCATCAACAGAACTGGCATCGGATGTCCAAAAAGGCCACAAGACACAGGGTGACCTCAGATAAGAGGATTTTAGAATTTTTCAAATATATATATATATCATAACTCCTGAGTTGCCCCTACGAAGAGAGATCCAACATATTAAAGATGAGAAGCTTTTGAGCTACTTCTGAAAAACTATTGTCGGTCAACTTTTTGATTATTTAAAAATATGAATATGGAAATAATTTTTGAAATTTAATTTAAATATAATAGATATATCTTTTTAGTTTCGAAAGTAGTATATTTTAATTTTTGAAAAGAAATGAGACCAAATGGATCTCATTCGTCCAATAGTTTGCATAATTGTGTCCGATATCGCGAATGTTACACCCTCCCGAAAGATTAGTGCATACCCCGGCGATATACCCAATCCTGAAAACTAAAAGATTTGTGACTTTTATTTGGTCTGCAAACCTTTTATGTATGACCGACAAGTTCTCATATCTAATACAAAGATTAAATAAGATTTATTTTACCCGGGTTCCAAGTTCCCTAAAGAGGCAAGTCCCCATGATTAATTACATCTCAAATGACGGGAATCGCTTGAGAAAACCCTCGATGATGATCAGAGGTATTAGTCTTCAAAAATCCAAAGTTTAGGTTTTTACGGTAGGACATGGAAAGACAAATGGGAATGGCTCAAATATGAACAATTATTTTTTTTAGGAGTCCAAAGGAAGAAAAAAGTAGGGGACGTCATTGATCATGAGAAGAAAACCTCAATAACTTCCCAAACTATTC